GAAAAAAAAACAAACACAAAAGGGAAAACACATTGTGAAGATGTGTAAATTGTTCTTCAGTGAAGGAGGTTTGTGTATATAATTGAGTTTAGTTGTTTTTGTTTATAGAGCTCCTATAATTTCCCGATGCCAGATTCTGAGTTAAAAGAAAAATACCAATGTGCTTAGGCAACATCTGTTCCCAGCCCTTCAGGGTGCTAATTCTGAGCCCAGGGATGTGCTCATTCTTGGGAAATGATGCTCTTTCTTTGTAAAATTCTGCATTCTTCCTTGGTACTATTGCAGAGAAAGTCCTTTTAAAAAGACTTTTTAGCACGTGTCCCAAGTGAGGAATTAACATGCTCTGTCCTCATGTGTGGCTCCTGGACTCCCTTCTTTAGAACTGCTGTGATCTGATTTGTATATTCCTGCACACATTTCTAAACCACTCCATATAAATCCTTCTTTGTAAAAGAATAGTACTACTAGAGGTTATATGTGTTTTCTTTTTTCAGTGGGTTTCAGTGATTTTGGTCAGGCAGTCAACTCTAAAAATCATAATAAATGGGGCTCGCATGTGGCAAAGTGAGCTAAGCTGTGTCCCATCATGCTGGTATCCTGAGAGTGCTGGTTCAAGACCTGGCTACTTCCAGGCCAGTTCTTTGTTAATGCACTTGGTTAAAGCAGCAGAACATGTTCCAACTACTTGGTCCTTGCCATCATAGAGGAAGACCAGGACGAAGATCTAGGCTCCTTACTTTGGACTTTCCCAGCAGATATAAATTCTGTTTATCTCTTCCCCCTACACCTTTCCCTACCCATAACTGTGGCTTTTAAGTAACTAATAAAAACATAATTTTTAAAATTATGTTTGGTAAAGCGAAAGTGATAAGGTTGTGTATTGTAAAACTTTGTACTCATTCTGGCCATTCTTCTAATTTTTCTGTCATTTGGAAGACATGGGATATTATTGTATTTTAAAATTATACCCATCAATGTATGCATAAAACAATGAAAATGTGGGTGCACTTTATCTGATTTAAAAGCATATTTGGAATGTATTTTTGTGTGGGGAGCCAGGCAGTTGGGTCAGATGGCATGGGTGTGTGATGAGCACCGCTCCTCAGTTAGCAAGGCTGCGAGGAGTTTCTAGCACGGAGGCAAGGCCCAGCAGAATGTCTCTGATCACCTCATTGCTGCCTCACCCCATTGTATGGAACTCAGTCACCTCTCTGATGTTTCATAGAATTCTTTTGAGGGTGTTGTTGTTGTTTTTCTGCTAATGTGAAGTGATTCCTGTAACTGGTATGACACCTCAAATTGATCTATCATGTTATGATAAAAACACCTATAGTAACATAAGGCTATGACACACAGTTAAAAGTATACAATAGTACAATTGAGCCCACTATGTTTCCAAACATCCTGTTATGTGCCCACTTTTGTCCTGAAATTTGCCCTAGTATAAGTAATGTTTTCCTTAAGAAATGGCTTGATAATATTCTGGAATAGATGGCAATCATGGAGGTACAAAGAGTTTGTTTACCATATACCTTGAACTGTTACAACACATGATATGATGCATTTTAGTTTGTTACCACAAGAAAGCAAAAATATATGGGGCATCTTCTAAAAGGAAACAAAACAAACCCCCCTCAAATTGCCTTAAAATCTCAATCTTATATTGGCACTTATATTTAGGGAAAGAAAACAGTTTATATAGATGAAAGAAAGCTTCTTGTAAAGGCCCTCTATAGATTGGCTGAACTGCCTTGATCCTTTTCACTGCCCTTTAACAAAAGAATAAAAACAATTGAATCAGCACTAGGTGAAAGTGACCGTAATTAATGCATGATTTGATTATAAGATTTAGCAAAGAATCTATGTTATATTCTTTTATAAAATCCTTTCATTTATGATCTTTTAATTCTGTATTCTTAATGTTTTAATCAATATTAGTTTGTGTTTAGTAAAAATTGATTTTGGGTATAAGTAAACTACTTGTCACTATGTAACTGCATGTGCTGCCAATCGTGAAGTTCCTGGCTCCAGCCAGGTGATTGCAGGTTTCAATGAGTAATGGTTTGTTAAGAATGTTTTCTTTGAAATAGAAAAATATTTTTTTAGGATTGCTTCTTGCATTTTCATAACCATGATGTAATGAAAAATGAAACAATTGAATGTTGTACAGAATTTGTGATGATTTATGTATAAATAAAGAAGGCAACTTTGCTGAGTTGTCCATTATGAGCATCAAGCCATAGTGGTCCATGTCTTATCTCTTCCTATCATCTCGCCAATCCACGCATCCTTTGCAAGCTCTCAGTTAGCTGGAGCTGGTCTCCGACATTTTTGTTGAAACTATTTAGTATTTTGTTAAAGAAAAGTTGATAAGTTGTAGTGGAGTAACCTGGAATTCAAAAATTGAAAGCTATTTGAATTGTGTACAAGATTGGGCAGAAACAGAATGATAAGGAAAAGTAGGGTTTATATTTATTTTGGAATCGAGAAGAAGCTATAGATTGTATGTAATGGTAGGATGTAAAGCCCTGGAAGAGAAATAGAATGTGAGAAAAACAATAACATTAACATTATTTAAAGTAGATATAAATACATTAAACAAGCATACTGATTTGATTTGATCCATGTAAGAAAGAGCTAATTTTGTGAGGTAGCCTTAAATCAATTTGTAGAACAATGTCTTGCTTCTGTGAAATAAATATTCAGATACTTTCAGTGATCCAGATAACAGAATCACATTTTTTGCTTTCCTGTTGAGAAACTGCTCCAGAAGCTCTGAGGATGAAGGGTTCATCATATGAGCATTGTGTGAAGGGAACTGCTGGGCAAAGAATGCAGTGCAGAAGCCACTGAAGAATGGGCAGGGTGTGATGATGACAAGTAGAGGGATGGCCAAAGAGAGAAGTATGGCTAAGTGGGGAGAAGATGGGAATGAAAGGACTTGGTGGGTCCTTGGGACCCTGTGCTTGGGAGTGCAGTCTGCAGGAAGGACATTTGCACACCAAAGCAGATTGAAGGGTGTTTCAGTTACCTGTGTCTCTCTTTCTTTCTTTCTTTCTTTTTTTTTTTTTTCTGGTAGAATGACAGAAGGGATTTTCATGTGGACCCGTATTTTGACAGAACATCCTTGTTCTATTCATTTGGATCTTTCCAAATGTATCTGTGATCTGTAAGATTCATGTTGTAATGGCATTTTCTCTGTATTTTGAATTAGGCAAATGAAGAGAGTAATGGTAGATGTGTGAGTTTAAAGGGAGACATCCACTCTCAGTGTCCCGAAAGGATCAGATTCTCTTTTTTTAATTTACATATATTTTTTACTGCATTTCATTTTATAACAACTTTTCATAGGCTCTGATGCTCCCCCTTCCCATCCTCATGCCCTCCCCCCATGGTGGATTGCTCCACCTTATTGCAGTATTACAGTTCAAATCTAGGCTTGTTTCTTTCAATGCAATGTGTCATGTATAGAGTCCAGTATCTTATTGCCCAGCTGAATTCAACAGTTTCTTGGGGAGACCAACTCTGGTCTGGAGACATAGCTGGCAGATTATCGTTCCAACCACTTAAATGCCATAACATAACATCAACAACAGTTTCCAACATTATGGGGTTAATTAACATTGTATTGAGTGACTGATATGTTAGACAGTGTGAGTTCTTAACCGCATCCTGAGACTACTTCATTAACGTTTCAATTATAGTTTGTATACAACTGTCTTCCATCTACCTTAAATTGTCTATAGGATACCATTCAGCTATCTCATGACTATTTTCATTTTAGTATTTAGCAGTTTATTGTGTTGAAGCATAATTTTTACTGAACTTGGCAGATTTTAGGATATTCTAAACTGGCTTATACCTTTAGCAAGGCATATGACACCTGTTGAGGCATAGAACACTGTTGAGAGGGGTGTGCAGAGAAATCCTCCATACCCTAGTTAGGAGTAGTTTATTTTCATGTCCTACCTAGTAAAGTTTGTGTGAGTTCCTACTGATCATTTCCTGTCTAGTTCTAAGCTTTCCTTATTGTTCTCTGTCCATTTTAATTTTTTTTGTTGTTTGTTTTGTTTTGGGGGGGCTATAGGCCGACCCTGATGGTCACTGCAAGAGAGGGTGGGGATCCAGAACTGGAACTAAGCAAGGACCAGAGAAAGCTCCTCTCCCTGGTCTCAGAGGGAGTTTATTGTTCTTCTGTTTCCGTAGACTGCTCAGGGCTCCTGGCTGTTGTTCCTGTGACATTGGGCTGTGCGAGGAGGGATTTGGACTTCTTCTATCCCATGTGGGAGATTCAAGTGGGAGCGAATGACTTCAGAGTACTTAGCCTCCGATGACATTCCAATTCCCTGTGGTCTCCTTGGCAGTTGGGATGTAGTCCTTAGTGCCCATACTGATAGTCCTTGGCGAGGATCCGGGAGTCTCCAGGGTTGGAACACAAGTCTCCCCTTGTCCCCCTGCTCCACTCTGGAATCCCCCTGCTCTGTGCATATGACTTCCTGTTAAGAGGTTGTCAGGGTTGCTCTTGATTCTTAGTGCTTTCTGGAGTTGAATGGTCTTGCTCTCCAATTTTATTGTCATATTTTGCTGATGCATCATACAGGGAAAATTCCAGAGATTTTCCATTCTTGTTGAAGACTAGAGCACATGATTTTTCACTTAAGTGTACAGAAAGGTTTGGTAGGATTTGTGCATAAAAGAGGCTAAAATCAAGTATCATTAGTCAGGCTTTTACATAATTCATCACGGTGGCTTTGGGATTCCAGCAGGATATGTTCTTGATTTTGATCTCAATGGTTATTATTAAAGGACTGGTTCTCTTAGTTCTCAGCAAAACAATTACAATATACCTGGTCTGTTAGAGAAATGAATTGATACATAAAAAAACATATAAATAAATGAATTGATATATAAAATCTATTCCTGTTAAATATTATTGATTATCTGAATAGCATCTGTGTAAAAGAAAAGTAAAGATTCTTTCTGTCTTTTCAAATTTATAGGCTGTCCATCTGGCCCAGGCCAGCTTCCAGATTGAAGCTTTTGGCTCTAAATTCATTCTTGACCTCATACTGAACAAGTAAGTAGTGGGTTGTAGCCATTTCGAAGGCAAGTGCATAAAATTTCATTTCTGTGATACTGATTTAGTCAAAACTAATGTCCATTGTTGAAGCCATTATTATTTTCTGATTAAATATGAATAGCATTTAAAGAAATTTATGCCTAGTGAATTTTCTTTTTTTCTAAAGGAAAAGATACATTAAATGACATTAAATAAAAGACATTAAATAATTTTATTAGACATTATTAGACATTAGACATTTATTAGACATTATTGTATTAGAATTTCAGATAAACACTTAGCATATTAAATATCTCAAACATAGCATTTACATATTATGAGTTTGAATAGTACAAGTATTTGAAATGGTGTTAATTACATGTTAACTGAAATCATTGTTATATAGAAAATGATAAATTACTTATAGTTAGGCTTCAGTCTCGAAATTTCTTTCATTTTACCTTTTATAATATAATCTCATGACTTCTGTAAAAAGAACAAAGTAAGTGATGACTTGTAATTACCTATTTTGAGAAGCTTTTTGGCTTCGTAATTTGCTTGAATGCAATTTCCTAGAAATTTTTGTCCTGATGAAAATTTATCCAGTTGTCACCAAGCATGTGTTTATGTTGATATTTCTGTGTTTTCCAAGTTGGAAGCAGTTATACAGATGTCTTTGTACAATGTATGAACAAAAGCTTTTAATTTAACCAATGCCCTTCCATCTCAAATAGAGTTGGTGAAAGATATTTATACCACTATTTTGTTACAGAAATTCCAGTTAGTATTTTAAACTCTCATCAGTATTTGTACCAAATTTGGGTCTTTGTAAAAAAAAAAAACCACATTTAATGTTACTAGATACTATTATGTAGGTGACTGCACCAATGTCTGAGAAATTGCAAAGAACCATTTAGGGCAACTATTATATTTCTGTATGCCCAATTCCATGAGCTTTGAAGAAAAAAAATGCTGGGTCAGTTTCAGTTCTCCTTACTCAAGAGTTTTTGCAGCTTTAAGTCAGAATGAATCAGCAGAACCCAGAATTTCCCATATTGACGATATTGCAGATTTTCTTCATTGGTCAAGTTGCATTACAATGTGCTATGCCAGCAGTGTGCCTGCATAAGAGGTTGGTCTTGCCAGCTCTTAAACTGTGTTCAGTAACAAGAGATGGCTAATTTTAGCTTAAATCTTCTGTTCCTTCAGTGCTTCCTGCAGTGAAGATCATCATTTCAGTTTGCAACCTCATGATGGAACCAACACTTCTGGGGTTTTTGAACTTTATAAAACCAAAGCCGAGGAAACACCTCCTAATCCAGTGTAGATGATTGCAAAAGGGTCAAATGAAGTGTGAGTGCATTAGCAGGGATGTTGTGAAGATAGAAAGTGTTCCTTGAGGGGTTTGGGTGAGAAGAAAAAAGCTAGATGATATGATGGTCAAGGCTGGCCTTTTTAGTGATAGAGGTCAAGTTAGTAGATTCAGAGATGGTGTTGGTAACAGATCATCCATAGAGTAATATTTGTATAGCAACTGAAGCTGTGAGATCTGAACCTGGGGGGACAGTTGAAGGTGTTAGGGTGAGTAGAGGTGGAGATTGGTTTGCTGGTGAGGGAAACCACCTGTGAAGATCTTCATCTTGGAGGTATTATCTGCTGTAGGGGCTGGGTTGCAGAGGACTTTGGTAATGTTGTGGCTTGGAATATGAAGTTTAGACTTATGGCACAGAGAAATGGATGAGGAAACTCGTCAGGGTAATATTAAAGAATTCATGAGCAACTCTCATTAAAAATTTTTATTTTAATGATTTTTGTTTTTAAAGTGGAAATGATCCCTCCATGAAACCTATCCCAGTGTGGATCCAGAGTTCGGTCTCTGTGGTAGCACAGAGGAGCTGTGGTGGAAGAAGCATTTCTCATGAATGACTTGTGGAAAGGACCCAGTTTGGATAAGAGAGAGATGAGGTTGAGAGGAGGACAGGGAGAAAAGCCAGGGAAGGAGGAAGGAGTTTGTGAGAACTACTGTCACGTGCTTTCTCCCTTTCTGTAATGTCCTGAGCCTACTGGATGCAGCAAGAGTGTGCAGGACTGGTGTGGCCTGGGGTCAAGGGCATTGCATTAGAGCATGAGATGTGTGCCTCGGTGTGTCTCTGTTTCAAGAACTCTTAATGTTAGGGATTAACTTACAAGTCCATCAATGTTAGAATAACCCTGAAATCAAGAGAATGTTTAAATCAGCTACTGAGGAATGAAAACACCTGAGAAAAGAGCAAGCTCATTTCCACCATAGGTTGATCCCACTATATGCAACAATTTAAAGCCATCAGAGGAGGAAAATGGCAAACTTAGCATGGTGAGTATGGGGCTCAGTGTGGGAAGGAATGAGAACACAGATGCCAGAATAAATTAGGTGGCTAATGGCCTAGAAGTTCAGATTGTGAAGGCTGCACTGATGGGAGTTCCCGGAATGAGAGTCTTTTCTGAGCCAGTGCTTTTCTAGGTTGAACTAGGAGGCCTTGACTTGGCAAGGTAACTCATGCAGTACTGTACATTTTATTCATTTGTTCAGCATGTGTTGAGCAAGCATCTCATATTTTCCTGGATCATGGTAGGTACTGATACTGCTGGAAATAAGATAGACAAGGGCCATGCTTCCCCTGTGAGAGTTTTATTGTGGGAAAGAGGGAAGATAGACAGTGCACTGTTGAGTAACAACAAGTTCCTTAAAGATTAAGTCACAGGGCTGGAGATGGAGAGAGGCTGCAGGTGGGGTGGCCACTGCAATGGTCAAAAGACGCCAGAAGGAGATTGGATTGAGACCTTTCAAACTGGATCTTTCACATGACATCAAGAGGCTGAGGCTTCTGTACAGCCAGAACAGAAGATAGCTGGTGCTGAGGAACACATGGGATGTTCAAGAAGGACAGAAAATGTTGTGATGGGAATGCATGTAGCGAAGCAGTGAAGGACTGATGAATGCGGAAAGGAACTCCTAGGTGAGGCTCCATTAGGTCTATGATGCACGGTGCAGGTGGGCAGCTACTGGAGGGCAGAAAACACACAAGTGACGTAGCTGGGTTTACATTTTATTTAGCTCCCATATCCCCAAGATGTGTTCTTGAGGGGCTTTAAGTGACACTGCTTCAGTGTAATACCCTTTGAAAATTTGTCTTGTTTTTCTGTTTGACCAACATTTAAGTTCTGAAGCTTCTAAAAGGATTATGAGGGTAATAATTGTGTGTGTGTGTGTGTGTGTGTGTGTGTGTGTGTGTGTGTGTGTGTGTGTATGTGTGTGTGTGGAGAGAGAGAGAGAGAGAGAGAGAGAGAGAGAGAGAGAGAAACAGAAACAACAGTTAAAGTTGTTTTGTGTTTACAAACACCTTCTGTAGGATGTGATTGGCATGAGATTGTCGGCTTTCTGCGTGTGTCGGTCCCTGGAATTTCATGGAGTTTGAGAATTATTTCCTCCAGTTGTATGATCAGAATTTAATCAGAACTTTTACTACATATAACACTTTTGTGGTATTTTCAGTAAATGTTTATTGGAAATAACTATCATTAAATCTAGGGGTTGATTGTCAGCACAGGTACCAGAGTTAGACATACTTATATTTGAATCTGAGGCCTGCTATTTGCTAGTTGTGTGACCTCGAGGAAGTTTCTTAATGTCTTCTCTTTCTTCCTCCACCACCACTACTGAATACCATGAAGTGAATCTCTTTAAAGTAGACTTTTCAGTAGTTTTTGTTCTACTCACAGAACAGTACAGTTGTTCCACAGTCTAATTCCAGAACATTTTGAGCATCTCCAGAAGAAGCCCTGTGCTCGTGGGCATTGACCTCCCATTTCTTTTTCCCACAAGTCTGAAGTAAACTACTAATCTACTTTCTGTCTCTGTGGATTTGCCAATTCTGGGAATTTCATTAAATGGACTCATGATGTATGTCCTCTTTTATGTCAGCATAATTATTTCCAAGCTTTATTTATGCTGTAGTTGAATGCTATGCCTTAGTATGGATGTACACTTCTAATAAAAAATTAAAGGTTTAGATTCCTTGTTAAGTTGCAGGCTGCTCTAAGGAATGAGTGACATGATGTGTAGTATTTACATATGCTTTTTAATAGTCATTAGGGTGAGTATTTAACCTAGTTATTAAACTATTGCTTGCAACGCTCACATCTCTATCGAAGGGCTTGAGGTTGATCCCTGGCCCGCTCCTGAGAACAGGCTCATGCTAATTCAGACTCTGGGAGGCAACAACGATGGCTCAAGAACTTGGGTCCCTGCCATCTCTATGGGAGACCTGGAAATCAGTCGATGGCTACCCTTGTTGTCTGTCCACCTGCCTCGTGTTCTCTCTCTCTTCTTCCTCCGTCTCAACACTAATCCAAAGAGAATTGCACAATCTTTCTTTTGGTTGTAGACACTATTTTTTTTTATCCCATTTTAGTGAATAAGGTGAGAGTGCTGCACTGTGTGATGTTATCCCTGCTGACAAAAAAAATTGGAGCCCATTTGACAGGTCCTTGGTTGATAGACATTCAAGGAGGTGAGCCCTAAGAATGCAGATAACATCTTTCTATTGATTTGAGAACATGCCTGTAACACATCTGGTACTTTTTATGTTGTTACGTAGCTGCTTACTGGCTATTCATTAAGACAGGGCATGCAGAGCATTGAATATTTGGATATTAAATTTTCAGTATCTGATTGGATCTTAGGTGACTGCTCAGGCTGTCAGAATTTTCTCCAGTTATTTGACATGAAGCAAATGCCAGTGCTCCTCTAACCTCTGCCTGAAGCAGAGAAGGAAAAATTTTCAGATTGCATCAGGGGGTAAATCTTTGGTTAATAAGACAAAAGCTTATTCCCAAGAGAATACTACTCCAGTGGGGGAAATGTGGAAGTCTGGTAAGTACCTCTTGCCATTTTTCTTTGATGATATCTCCAGAGAGCTCTGCTTGAGGGAAACCAGTGTAGACTTCAACATTGAGTGGCTCTAACTTAAAACTGTGCA